TTTTTGTTCCCCATTTCTTTAAGTAAAAAGCTAACGTTAGGCTATAAAGGAACTACAGCACGGTCACATGACTTCAGTTCAACACAGCTAAGCTAATGGCGGCTAATGTTGGGCTATAAAGGAACTACAGCACGGTCACATGACTTCAGTTCAACACCGCTAAGCTAATGGCGGCTAATGTTGGGCTATAAAGGAACTATGTCTCATTTAGACATTTTTTAGCAACCTCAGTTTTTTTAATCCACCAGTCGGGTATTTACTGACATATTTTATGTTGTACAACAAAACGTTAAAGTCTCTCCAGCTTGTGTTAACCACTGACCTTATTTCAGAAAACAACCAAAAACACCTCCAGACCAGGGGACAGGAAGTGATGAAATACTGACTCATTACAGTGTTTTAGGACTAATTCCTGCTGCTCTATATTAAAGCTTTTTGTACCTCTGTGTTTATGACTGCCAAAGGTAAAGACATATTTCCCTTTCCTACAGACTGCAGCATTGATATCGCCATGGGATTCGATATTACTCGGAGAACGGCTGGTGGGATTCTGGTCAGCGGTCACACCAAGCTCCAGAGCTTCCTGCCGGAAATCGCCCGTTACGTGTCCTCGGTTCAGGGTCTGTGCTGCACCGGCACTGCGCCCGTCAAAACCAACATCGCGTATCGACTGGTGGCTGAAAACGGAGTTACTCGTGACGACTTCAACTTTGAGGGCTACAGCGAGGAGGTGTTGAGGAAAGTCATGACCCTGAATCTGGCAGAGCCTACTTACTTCAACACCGCCATGTTGAAATCCTTCGGACAGAAGTTCAACACCCAGTCCAGAGCCAGCGTGAAGGTGAGTCTGAGACAAAGTACAACGTTACATCCACAGAAAAGCATCTCTGTCATTTTCAGATGTATATCAGTATGTAGTTTCTGTACTTTAAAGAGTCCTCTCCTGCTGATGTTCAGGTGTATATCAGTATGTAGTGTCTCTACTTTAAAGAGTCCTCTCCTGCTGATGTTCAGGTGTATATCAGTATGTAGTTCTTACTTTAAAGAGTCCTCTCCTGCTGATGTTCAGGTGTATATCAGTATGTAGTCTACATGTAGTGTCTCTACTTTAAAGAGTCCTCTCCTGCTGATGTTCAGGTGTATATCAGTATGTAGTGTCTCTACTTTAAAGAGTCCTCTCCTGCTGATGTTCAGGTGTATATCAGTATGTAGTGTCTCTACTTTAAAGAGTCCTCTCCTGCTGATGTTCAGGTGTATATCAGT